TTTCACAATATTGATTCTTCCTATCCATGAGCATGGAATGTTCTTCCATTTGTTTGTGTCCTCTTTTATTTCATTGAGCAGTGGTTTGTAGTTCACCTTTAAGAGGTCCTTCACATCTCTTGTAAGTTGAATTCCTAGGTATTTTATTCTCTTTGTAGCAATTGTGAAGGGGAGTTCACTCATGATTTGGTTCTCTGTCTGTTATTGGTGTATAAAAATGCTTGTGATTTTTGCACATTGATTTTCTATGCTGAAACTTTGCTGAAGTTGCTTATCAGCTTAAGGAGACTTTGGGCTGAGATGATGGGGTTTTCTAAATATGCAATCATGTCATCTGCAAACAGGGACAATTTGACTTCCTCTTTTCCTAACTGAATACCCTTTATTTCTTTCTCTTGCCTGATTGCCCTGGCCAGAATTTCTAACACTTTGTTGAATATGAGTTGTGAGAGAGAGCATCCCTCTCTTGTGCCAGTTTTCAAAGGGAATGCTTCCAGTTTTTGCCCATTCAGTATAACATTGGCTGTGGGTTTGTCATAAATAGCACTTATTATTTTGAGATACATTCCATCAATACCTAGTTTATTGAGAATTTTTAGCACAAAGGGCTGCTGAATTTTGTCAAAGGCCTTTTCTGCATCTATTGAGATAATCATGTGATTTTTGTTGTTGGTTCACTTTATATGATGGATTATGTTTATTGATTTGCATATGTTGAACCAGCCTTGCATTCCAGGAATGAAGCCGAGTGATCATGGTGGATAAGCTTTTTGATGTGCTACTGGATTTGGTTTGCCAGTATGTTATTGAGGATTTTCGTATGTATGTTCATCAGGGATATTTGTCTAAAATTCTCTTTTTTTGTTGTGTCTCTGTCAGATTTTGGTTTCAGGATGACGCTGGCCTCATAAAATGAGTTAGGGAGGATTCCCTCTTTTTCGGTTGATTGGAATAGTTTCAGAAGGAATGGTACCAGCTCCTCTTTGTACCTCTGGTAGAATTTGTCTGTGAATCCGTCTGGTCCTGAACTTTTTTTGGTTGGTGGACTATTAATTGTTGCCTTAATTTCAGAGCCTGCTATTGGTCTATTCAGAGATTCAACTTCTTCCTAGTTTAGTCTTGGGAGGGTGAATGTGTCCAGGAATTTATCCATTTCTTCTTCTAGATTTTCTAGTTTATTTGCATAGAGGTGTTTATAGTATTCTCTGATGATAGTTTGTATTTCCGTGGGATCGGTGGTGATACCCCCTTTATCATTTTTTTATTGCATCTATTTGATTCTTCTCTCTTTTCTTCGTTATAATTGTTGAGAGGTGTCTGCTCATATTCTAGAAGTCTATCAATTTGGTTGATCTTTTCAAAAAAACAGCTCCTGGATTCATTGAATTTTTGAAGGTTTTTTTGTGTCTCTATCTCCAGATCTACTCTGATATTAGTTATTTCTTGCCTTCTGCTAGCTTTTGAATTTGTTTGCTCTTGCTTCTCTAGTTCTTTTAATTGTGATGTTAGGATGTTGATTTTAGATCTTTCCTGCTTTCTCTTATGGGCATTTAGTGCTATAAATTTCCCTCTACACACTGCTTTAAATGTGTCCCAGAGATTCTGGTATGTTGTATCTTTGTTCTCATTGGTTTTAAAGAACATCTTTATTTCTGCCTTCATTTCATTATGTACCCAGTAGTCATTCAGGAGCAGGTTGTTCAGTTTCCATGTAATTGTGTGGTTTTGAGTGAGTTTCTTAATCCTGAGTTTTAATTTGATTGCACTGTGGTCTGAGAGACAGTTTGTTGTGATTTCTGTTCTTTTACATTTGCTGAGGAGGAGGAGGAGTGCTTTTTACTTCCAACTATGTGGTCAATTTTGGAGTAAGTCCGATGTGGTGCTGAGAAGAATGTATATTCTGTTGATTTGGGGTGGAGAGTTCTGTAGATGTCTATTAGGTCTGCTTGGTGCAGAGCTGAGTTCAAATCCTGGATATCCTTTTTAACCTTCTGTCTCATTGATCTGTCTAATATCGACAGTGGGGTGTTAAAGTCTCCCATTATTATTGTGTGGGAGTCTAAGTCTCTTTGTAAGTCTCTAAGGACTTGCTTTATGAATCTCGGTGCTCCTGTACTGGGTGCACATATATTTAGGATAGTTAGGTCTTCTTGTTGAATTGATCCCTTTACCATTGTGTAATGGCCTTCTTTGTCTCTTTTGATCTTTGTTGGTTTAAACTCTGTTTTATCAGAGACAAGGATTGCAACCCCTGCTTTTTTTGGCTTTCCATTTGCTTGGTAGATCTTCCTTAATCCCTTTATTTTGAGCCTATGTGTGTCTCTGCATGTGAGATGGGTCTCCTGAATACAGCACACTGATGGGTCTTGACTCTTTCTCCAATTTCCCAGTCTGTGTCTTTTAACTGGGGCATTTACTCCATTTACATTTAAGGTTAATATTTTTATGTGTGAATTTGATCCTATCATTATGATGTTAGCTGGTTATTTTGCCCGTTAGTTGATGCAGTTTCTTCCTAGCATCGACGATCTTTACAATTTGGGGTTTTTGCAGTGGCTGGTACTGGTTGTTTTTTTTCCATGTTTAGTGCTTCCTTCAGGAGTTCTTGTAAGGCAGGCCTGGTGGTGACAAAATCTCTCAGCATTCGCTTGACTGTAAAGGATTTTATTTCTCCTTCATTTACGAAGCTTAGTTTGGCTGGATATGAAATTTTGGGTTGAAAATTCTTTTCTTCAAGAATGTTGAATATTGGCCCCCACTCTCTTCTGGTTTGTAGAGTTTCTGCCAAGAGATCTGCTGTTAGTCTGATGGGCTTCCCTTTGTGGGTAACCTTTCTCTCTGGCTGCCCTTAACATTTTTTCCTTCATTTCAACCTTGGTGGATCTGACAATTATGTGTCTTGGGGTTGCTCTTCTTGAAGAGTATCCTGGTGGTGATCTCCATATTTCCTTAATTTGAATGTTGGCCTGCCTTGCTAGGTTGGGGAAGTTGTCCTGGATAATATCCTGAAGAGTGTTTTGCAACTTGGTTCCATTCTCCCTGTCACTTTCAGGTACACCAATCAAACATAGATTTGGTCTTTTCACATAGTCCCATATTTCTTGGAGGTTTTGTTCTTTTCTTTTTACTCTTTTTTCTCTAAACTTCTCTTCTCACTTTATTTCATTAATTTGATCTTCAATGACCGATACCCTTTCTTCCACTTGATCGAATCGGCTACTGAAGCTTGTGCATGCATCACACAGTTCCCGTGCCATGGTTTTCAGCTCCATCAGGTCATTTAAGGTTTCTCTACACTTTATTCTAGTTAGCCATTCATTTAATCTTTTTTCAAGGTTTTTAGCTTCCTTGCAATGGGTTCGAACCTCCTCCTTTAGCTCAGAGAAGTTTGTTATTACCGACTTTCTGATGCCTACTTCTGTCAGCTTGTCAAAGTCATTCTCTGTCCAGCTTTGTTCCATTGCTGGTGAGGAGCTGCAATTCTCTGGAGGAGAAGAGGTGCTCTGGTTTTTAGATTTTTCAGCTTTTCTGCTCTGGGTTCTCTCCATCTTTGTAGTTTTATCTATCTTTGGTCTTTGATGTTGGTGACCTACAGATGGGGTTTTGGTGTGGATGTCCTTTTTGTCGATGTTGATGCTATTCCTTTCTATTTGTTAGTTTTCCTTCTAACAGTCAGGTCCCTCAACTGAAGGTCTGTTGGAGGTTGCTGGAGGTCCACTCCAGACCCTGTTTGCCTGGGTATCACCAGTGGAGGCTGCAGAACAGCAAATATTGCAGAATAGCAAAAACTGCTGCCTGATCCTTCCTCTGGAAACTTCATCCCAGAGGGGCACCCACCTATATGAGGTGGCAGTCAGCCCCTACTGGGAGGTGTCTCCCAGTTAGGGTACACGGGGGTCAGGGACCCACTGAGGAGGCAGTCTGTCTGTTCTCCGAGCTCAAACACCATGCTGGGAGAACCACTGCTCTCTTCAGAGCTGTCAGACAGGGACGTTTAAGACTGCAGAAGCTTCTGCTACCTTGTGTTCAGCTATGCCCTGCCCCGAGGTGGGGTCTAGAGGCAGTAGGCCTTGCTGAGCTGTGGTGGACTCTGCCTAGTTTGAGTTTCCCAGCTGCTTTGTTTACCTACCCAAGCCTCAGCAATGGCGGATGCTCCTCCCCCTGCCAGGCTACTGCCTCACAGGCCGACCTCAGACTGCTGCACTAGTAGTGTGCAAGGCTCCATGGGCATGGGACCCACTGAGCCAGGTGTGGGATATAATCTCCTGGTGTGTCGTTTACTAAGACCATTGGAAAAGCACAGTATTTGGGCTGGAGTGTCCTGTTTTTCCAGGTACCATCTGTCATGGCTTCCCTTGGCTAGGAAAGGGAAATCCCCCAACCCCTTGCACTTCCTGGGTGAAGTGATGCCCTGCCCTGCTTCAGCTCACCCTCCGTGGGCTGCACCTACTGTCCAACCAGTTCTAATGAGATGAACTAGGTACCTTAGGTGGAAATGCAGAAATCATCCGTCTTCTGTGTCAGTCACACTGGGAACTGCAGGCTGGAGCTGTTCCTATTTGGCCATCTTGGAATGGAATCTGGGATTTTCTTATTTGCAATCTAGAAATATTGAGTAACACACACAGACAATCTAATTTGACCAAAAGACCAAAACAATATGCATAAGAAATCATGTCAAAGAATCTTATTTACAGCAGCAGTCCCCAACCTTTTTGATACCAGGGACCGGTCTCATGGAAAACAATTTTTCTATAGACCCAAGGGTTGGAGACCTGTACCTGCAGGTTGGGGACCCTTGATCTATAGGATCCTTTCCAGGGTGTAATCATGGCCTCACAATACTGATGAAAATAGTTATAAAATCTCATCTCTGAAGTAGCCCACTAAGACAATGAAGAGGAGTCCCAAATTAAGATTACATGCCAGGCCTAAGGAAAATACATTACTTTTAAGGTAAATAAAATTACTTTTACTTTTTTAGTGTTGTTCTGAAATAAATGCTTTCATTCATTCACACATTATTCATCGATCACCTACAAAGTATCTGACATTGTTCTAGGCACTTAAAATCAGTGAACGAAGCAGAAAAAGAACCATTGTGCCCTATGCAGTACTTTCAAGTGGGAACAGATAATAAACAATAAACATCATAAATAAGCAAATTGTACAGATGTTAATAGGTAATAAATGCTACAGGGGAAAACTGATGAGGCAAAGGTAAACTGGCAATATGTGGGAGTGGAGGGAATTGTAACTTTAAATAGGGTTGTCAGCATAGGCCTCATAGAGCTGGTAGCATCTGGGCAAAGACATAAAAGAGGCAAGAAAGTTAGTCATGCAGATACCCAGGGAGACCCAGGAGGGTGTCTTAGGGCAGGCATCCAGAAGGTCCTAAGGTGGGATATATCTGGCAAGTGTGAAGAACAGCAAAAGTAGATGAATAGATGAACAAGGGAGAATGTAGTTGGGATGAGGTTAGAAAGGGAATGGAAGAGATGAACACAACACTGGACCTTGCAGGGCATTGTTAGGGCTTTGCAAGAACTAGTAAGCTCACAGAGTGTTTAGCAATATGATTTTTTTAAAAAAGATAATTTTTAATTCTTTGTTAAGAATGTACCAAATGCATTGAAATTGTATTGCAATGTCCTAATGTGTCCATATGTTAGTATTTTCTAATACTTACATAAACTTTGTGGCAGAGACTGCCAATTGTCTGCCAATATCCATTCCTTGTTCCTTTTACAAAACTAGAATCCCTGATTTTATTTGAGACATATGGTTTCCTAAAATAAAGACTGTACTTTCCAGTTTTCCTTGCAGCTGGGTAGGGCCATATGAACATGTTCTGGCCAATGACATGTTAGTGGAGATGGTCCATGAAAGTGAGTATACCCTTCTTTATCCTTCCTTCTACTACCTAGAATAAAAACAATGGCTAGTCCTGGATTGGTCTTTAACTTTGATGAGATGCTGAAAATGAAAGCCAGGACTGAAGGAGGATTGAAGGAGTCTGAACCTCTGACAACATAGAGTACCATACCAACCCTGGACTACCTACCTCCAGACTTTTACATGAGAAATAAACACCTAGTTTTTTCAAAACAGTGTTAATTTGGGTCTTTGTTACTTGCAGTCAAACCTAATCCTGAAACACCTGACGTTCTCTTGACATAAATTGCTTTCAAGAACCTAAAATACATGGTATTTACTTAGAGCAAAGAAATAAGGAGAACACTAGAATGGCTTAAAATATAAATTTAACTCAGAGTCCAGTAATTTGGAACTTTGGCCCCTGCAGAATTGAAGAATTCAACTATTCATGTATCTCAAACTGAAACTATAAAAAGTAGCACTCTACAGTGATGGCTACAGAAGATGAGACTGTGGTTCCAAGCTTTTAAAAAACACTTTTCTTTAAGAATTCTTCACTGGTTGGGTGTGATGGATCACGCCTGTAATCCCAACACTTTGGTTGGCTGAGGAGGAAGGACTGCTTGAGTCCAGGAGTTTGAGACCAGTCTAGAAAACACAGTGAGACCCCGACTCTACAAAAAATAACTTAACTGGGTATGATGGCACACACCTCTAGTCCTAGCTACTTGGGAGGCTGAGGCAAGAAGATTGCTTGAGCCCAGGAGATTGAGGCTGCAGTGAGCCATGATCATGCCACTGCACTCCAGCCTGGGTGAGAGTGAGACCCTGTCTCAATCAATCAATCAATAAAACTAGCCTAGCTGTCAAAGATCAGATTAAGGTTGTTGTTTTTCCACCCAAGCTTATTGTGTTAGGAGACCTCAAAGGAATCACCTTTATGTTGAAGCACAGAGTCAGGGAATAAAAAACCAGTACTCAGGCTTAAAACTAGTGTCTAGACGTGATCTTTGGCTGTAAACATGGGATTATCTATAGACTGGAAGTCTACTAATTTAGGAGAAGAAGAAGAAGCAGTGTTAAATTGCTAAAGAAATCATAAAGCTGGCCAAAAAACATGACTGACCTGTAATCAGATCTCATGCCCACATTTGTATCAGCAGGAAGCGGGTTGCAAAATCTGTTCAGCACTCTAGAACAGCAAATTCTCCATTGACCACATCAGATGTGGTCAGGAAGTACAATGTACAAGGAAGACCCTTTCCAAAAGGCAGAATTAGGAGTACTCTGATGAACTAATCAAGGAAATTGCTCCACTGCTAGAGAAGGGAACTTTTACAATTCCTACCTAGTCTAGCAGAATTGATAACCACTATAAACCAGTGACTCTTGTGTTAATCCTATTCTCCTCCTTTCCAAATATACATCCATTGTGTTATGTGTGATGTCGCAAATGCATTAACTTTTAGTTTACAGGTTACCAGACCACTTGGAATTAATGAAAAGGACTCTGCATTAACCCAACAGCCTAGATTCTGAGTCATATTCAAATGAATCATATTTGGGGGTTCACATACATAATTAAAAGCTAGAACAGGCATGTATGATCAAGAATAGGTAGTTATGTTCTATCTACAGGAAGAAGGGTGTACCAAAGATGTTTTGTGGCTAAAAGGTTGGATTATGGAGTAAACTGTTAGATGTTCACTAAAATCTGTTATCTTTAGTGTCCAGCTAAAGCCTTTTTTCCATCTACATGTTGCCACATGACCACATGACTAAATTCTGGTCAGCAGAAGGTAAGAGGAAGTGGTATATGTGACTTATGGGAACTGTCACCAAAGAAGGGGGTATGGGGCATGATTTTCAGCCTTCTTTTCTTCCTACCTGATATCTGGAATGTGATCATGGCTTAAAGCTGGAATAGCCATGAATGATCATGAATGCACCATCTGTGACTTTGGGAATGGAAGCTACTCACAGCACAGCAACAAAATGGAAGGCCTTAGAGCATTATACTAGCCCTTCAGACTTTTATATGAGTAAGAAATAAGCCTTTTTTTCTTACTCGTCCTCAATATAAACTTTACATTGTAAGTAAGAAATAAACTCTTATATGAGTAAGAAATAAACCTTTTTTTCTTACCTGTCCTCAATGTAAACTTTCTTAACATCTTGTACACGCTATTTATTTCCAGTCTCTAGACCTTTGCTCACACTGCTCCTATACTGTTGATGATTTAGAAAACGAGAAGCCAACTTAGTATAATGAAATAGACTTCTTTTTTCCATTTCCCAAAGTTCATGTTTAAGTCAGTTGGTTCCCTGAAATTAAGAATGAGTTTTCCTATGTGCTATGGTCAGAATGTTTGTGGCCCCTCCACCCCCTGCCAAATTTCTAAGTTGAAATTTAATCCCCAGTGTGATGTTATTATGAGGCAGGGCCTTCAGGGAGGCAATTAAGTCATAAGGGTGAACTCTTTTTACAATGCAAGGGCACATTATCAATAAGGAAGCAGGCACTCACCAGACACTGCTGGTGCCTTAGTCTTAGAAATACCAGCTTCCAGAACTGTGAGGAATAAATTTCTATTGTTTGTATATTATTCAGTCTAAGGTACTTTGTCATAGCAGCCCAGAGTGAGATACTATAGAAACAAATATATACATTGATCAGTTTCCTTGCTTCATTCAATATATACTAGTAATACCTGAAGTAACTCTCCAATATTACAGTTAAAAAAAATTTTATGAGAGCTGAGACTAGTCTGTCCTGTTCACTTTGCATTAATAGTGCTTAATTCAGTGTCTAGGACATAGTAGGTATGCAATAAATATTTGTTAAAGAAATAAGGGAAATTGTACTTCAGCTGCCAAGAACACATTTGTTCACATCAGCAACACTGTAATCACAGAAGAAAGGATTCCCTAATGGACTAAAGTAGACAGTTTTGACAAATTTTCAATGTTAATTCTATCTAACCTAGCCAAATAATTTATTATCCAAACTGGGCCTGTTCCAGGCAAATCAAGATGTCTAGGCTGCACCTATCTATATTTAAATAGCCTCCTTTTTAAATGAGAAGGTACTATCCTATGTCTCTATGGTTGCATATGTACCCATGGGACTCACCAAAGATTTACTGTTTGCTGCTTTTTAAAGAAGGCACCAAAAAGTCTCTGTTTTTATCTTGATGAAAATAATGTTTTACTCTTCAAGGAAGAACAAAAAGCATTTCCTCCTCACTAGCTCCACTCCCAGTGGTAAATGGGATTTCCTACTTCAGAGGTCTGCTTTTCCTTTACCCAGGGATAATACACGGGACCTTATTGCATTTTTAAAATTTGTGCCTAAAAGGTCTTTAAGTTAAATTGCTGGATTTCCCAGGACATAAAAAAGATTGGCAAGAATTGGTCTGCAGTAGATAAATCTACCCCAGCACAACTATTCTGGGGCAGTGAGATCTTGGGAAAAAATGAGTCTGTGGAGTATATGTAGTTCTGTGAGAGAGAAGGAGAGGAGCAGGAGGGAGGGAGGAAAGGAGAGGGAGAGGTGGATTTAAAGGGCCAGGTAACTGTAGCTGTGATCTGGGGGAACCAGTGATGGGTACCCTAATTGAGGACAATACTGAAGAAATTGTGTTAGACACTGTGATGGTTAATTTTATGGGTCAACTTGGCAGGGCCATGGTGACCAGCTATTTGATCAACCATTGTTCTGGATT